TTATCACCTAAGCAATTCAACAATAGCCTTAAAAGACAAAGATACACTCGATTAAAGTGCATTATGCGTGTTTTTGATCCAACTTACGATACAGCAGAGAATATAAGATAACTACTGAGGCATAAAATGGTTGTATAGGTTGTATTCACCCTATTTAGTTTAAGGGGTTGAAGGACTGGTAGTAGAATTTTTCACAATGATATGAGTAGAGCTGATGTTTACATTGAATTTCACATAGCTGGTTCTTACCCAGGGTGGATTGCAGTTTCGACCTCGTATAGGTCTAATCAACACTCCCAGCGGGAGTCGAACCATAACAGTGAGGCATGTAAGCTTGACACATTAAAACATTGCCACGAGTGCCCTTTGGGCTACAGGGCAGGTATGTATTTCAAGATAAACCAGGCCTTTTCCCATATTACATTATTTAGTGGGATTTTCGATGAAGCAAACGTATTTTTGCTATAATAATCCATTATATTACTTATTTTTCGTATATAAGTAGAGTTTTTAGATTACCAGTAAATCAGTTATATGAGATGTATTCAGCACTTTACCAAACGGTTTTCTCATCCAGGCTTGACGGCAGTTTCGTCCTCGCATTGGTCTTATCAACACCCCAAGCGGAAGTCGAACCATGAAAGTGCAGCCTGTAATGTCGGCACATTAACCACTACGCCGCATTGCCATGACTGCCATTGGTTCACGAAAACCTACTCACGAAAAAAGTAATGTCGTCGATTGTTATAGCAAATATATGTTTAATTAATCGACAATCTCAACACAGAATGTGATATTGAAAATGCCTGACATTCCTGCCTGCCCTGTGACCCAAGGGCACTCGTGGCAATGTGGCATAGTGGTTAACGTTTCGAACATACACGCTGCACTGTTATGGTTCGACTTCCGCTTGGAGTGCTGACAAGACCTATGCGAGGTCGAAACTGCAGTTCACCCTGAATGAGAACACTTCTTGGGAAAGCAGGGCTATGTGAAATTCAATGGGAAGGTCAACTCTACTCATATCATTGTGGGAAAAATCAACTACAAGTCCTTCAACACCTTAAACGAAATAGGATGAACACAACTCATATTTCTGATTTACTGGTAGTCTCGAAAACCTACTCATTTATGATAAAATGGTTGCGTAACAAATTTTAGATATCTATGGTCATACTTTGGATTCTTAATTTAATAAATGTCATAAAAAAACAAAGTATAGCCACGATATTTGACATACCAGATCCAGCTTACCGTAGTTAAAAGATCACCTCTTGATGATACAGGTGGTGGGGTCACTGGAATCGAAGCCAACGATGTCTGACTGCAAATCTCAGCCATCTGTGATCGAGGTGAACCAGAGGGCGAATGTGGGGCGGACACAGGGCCTGAGAAAATTGCGCTGCCTATTCCAGACACATTATTTGACATGTCTAAATGAGGCGCGGCGAGAGCGTGAGGGGGAGAGTGAACGAGGCAAGTTGATGGTAGAACGGCTCGAGCAAGATCGGACTTGAGATTTGAGATCTCCTCCAAGTAGCGAGTGCATTCTTTTTGTGAAGAAGCAAGTTCTAATTGGAGACGTTCTATTTCTGAGAGGTTGGTTTCCTAACATAAAAGTGAAATGCGTCTTTATTATGCAATTAGTAATGTGTCCTGTGTCTGCAGGCAATAGTGGAAGTATTAGTAAATGACGAATAATAAGAGTCTAAGCTTGAAAGAATGTAGCTAAAATCCTAATTTTAAAACTATTGTAGACATTAAACTTTCTTAAAATAGAAAAGCATCAGCCTCAGGTAAATTTATTACATATTTTACAATTCTTAATCAAGAAACCTGGCAAGGTTAATGGAAGGTATGGAGACCAAGATGATATGGCCTTGTGTGTGATCCTGATTCCTGATTTGATTTTCATAAAATCCAATGTAGGTGGAGGAGGATGAACGGCTACTCTTTCTGGATATTGAAGTCATACGCTCCAAGGGGACACTCATGAGGAGATAATACAGAAAGAATTCATATGCGGGAATAATCGTTAATTTTCAGTCCCATCATAACTGCAGACTGAAGATCGGAATACTGAGGAGTTTGATCATCAGAAGCTTACAACTAACGGACAATGAATTCTGGGACGAGGAGTTGGACAAACTGACACGGATTTGCCTTAGTAACGGATATCCCAGAGCATTTATAG